CCTTCCTTCCTTCCTTCCTTCCCAAAATCAATCTTCCTTCCTTCCTTCCTTCCTTCCTTCCTTCCTTCCTTCCTTCCTTCCTTCCTTCCTTCCTTCCTTCCTTCGTAGGGGAGTAGTAATATAGACAATCAGCCCGTTCTTGACTGAATCAATTCAGGGAACCCTGAAATCCTAGTGGGAGTCCTGAACCGACGGGGTCTCCTGCTGCAACACCACCTGTATCGAATCCTAGAATCCTCCTAAGGTTGGGTGGGACCTTGGAGGTCTTGTAGTCCAACCCCCTGCCCAAGGCAAGAATCTGGGAAACATCTGGAGAACTATGCAGAGCGCCATAGAGCTGTGTTGAAAGCATAAGAGCTCCTGCAACTTTGGTTTTTCCTGGCAAATACTCATTGTGGATTCTTGTCCTGGGATTTTAGCGGAAAGAAGAAGGGAAAGGAAAAAAGGGAAAGGAATGGAAAGAAGAAAGGAAAAAAGGGAAAGGAACGGAAAGAAGAAAGGAATGGAAAAAAGAAAGGAAAGGAAAGAAGGGGAAGGGAAAGGGAAAGGAAAAGAAAGAAGAAGGGAAAGGAAAGAAGGAGGGAAAGGAAAGAAGGGATAGGAAAGGAAAGGAAAGATTTGTGCAAATGCCATTATCAAGCTGGAGACCAAGAGGGAAAAATCTATGTGCTGAAATTCTTACTTTTGCAGTGCTCTCTTGTCACAATCCTTTGCATCCCGTCTTTTGCTGTAAGTCGTGCTTGTTATGCCTATTACTGGAAAAATATCTGGCAACCACCAACCAGCAGGAGGGGCTTTCCCTAAGCTCACTGCCGGAAACTGCTTTGCGTGCATTATCTACAACCTGCCGGACAGGGCCGTCCACATCAGGGTCAAATGAACGATGCCCCTCAGTATCTTAACTTGGTGCGGCCTGTCCAGCTGCATTCCGTAAACGGGTCCAAAGGCTGACATTCATCTCCAACACCTTTTGCAGCCAAGTATGCTTTTCATCATTTTATCATCCATAGTACTTTTCCCTTAAACCCGTATCTTTTGAACGGTTGAGGAAGCAACTGCAGAGAAGAGAGAAATCGAAAAGCCTTTCAAAAGGATAAATGCATGACAATGGCTCTTTTGCGCCATAAAAAAGTTCTTTGGCGTGATTCCCACTATCCTAGGAGCATCAGAGGTTATCTTACACAAGGGTTAGATTATTCCTCTCCCCGATCAGTCGCCAAGTAATGATTTCCTGAGGTTTGCATGTCAACCCTAACCCTAACCTAACCTTTGAACCTGGAGATTTCAAAATTTGAACTCAGGGCCATCTAATGTGTAGAAGACATAGGGCGCATGATGGTTCTCCCTTGCAAACAGCTATTCCCAGCCTCTCATCGTGCAACAGGGGTGGGATTATAACTCTGCATTCTTTTGACTGTGAAACAATCTCAGGAATATCTCAAGGTCTCCGATTCCATGTTTACAGCACTTTCTGCTTCACCGAAGGCAACCCTTAAAAAAGCAGAAGTGTTGCAGGATCCCTAGCTTTTCAAAAAGTGTTGCTCGTGCTTTCAACTTCTGGACATACCGCAGACTTTTATCACGAACCAATGGTGCTGTGCCAGACTTGAGTTCTGGGTGAATCCTTTCTCACCAATGTTGCGTTGGAAGGATTGCTCCCCACTGTGTCCCTGGTGGCACCTATAGAGAGCTGAGCACAAACGGAAAGTTTTCCCGCATTCCCGACACCGGTAGGGCCTCTCCTTGGTGTGAATCTGCTGATATTTGATGAGGTCCACGCTCTGCCGGAAGTGCGATCTGCATTCGGTGCATTGGTACCGTGTTTTGGCATAGTGGCTCCTGAGATGGTGGCGAAGGGTCAAGAGGTCCCTGAAAGTTCCTCAGCTGCATTTGGGACACTGCCATGGTTTCTCACCAGGGTGCATGGCCTGGTCCCCAAAAAGCTCTGCTTGTTGGCAAGAGGTCCTACCATGCTGTCCAACTATAGCTGGTTTCTCTCCTGTAATGCCACTGACATCCTGAATCTTAGAGTGTCCTGATTCATGATGGAAAGCAGAGGAGTCTTTATGCAACTTTTGGGCATAATCCTTTGTTAATCTGAGTTGGAGAGCACATGTCCATGTCTTGTCAGGCTCCTGGGGAAGGCACTGTGCAATCCTTTCTCAATTCTTCTAGCTCATTATGTTCTAGCAAGGGAGTTTGCCCTTCTCCTCCACTGGAGGTCATTGCCCTGATTGCACAAAGAAAATAAGAATATATGTTGAGTTTAGTTTTGAAAACTACAGGGAGGTCACCCTTTGGTGGCTATGGGTGAGATGGGGCAATGACTGGGATGTTGACAGACAATATGTGGGACTAGAAACTGCAGGATTATTTTTTCCTGGATTTCAAGTGGAGGGGGAATTTAAGGTGAGGCTCAGCTGCTTGTAATAAATTCAGTTGAGCTTGAAGAAAGCTCAATAGTTAGTCCACAACTGGGTGACCACCACAAATTGCAGGATTATAGGCCAGACTGAGAAGTTTAAGAAGTTTCCTGGAAAAAGGCAGGTGCAAAGAAAAGAAAATGGATGAGTCCATGAAATCACCAGGAGTCCAGCTCCACTTGAAGGGGACTTGAGTTTAAAAGAAATGTCAAATCAATGTTACAGTTCACATTTATGTTTACTGCTGCTGATTTTTAGCTGTTCGGGTCAGCAAAAAATCTGGGGGCCAGCAGAAAGGTCTCAGGGCTGGCTGCCTTCTCTGAAAAGGAAACAGAGTTTTGCAAAGATTTGCAGAGGAAAAGGAAATGTATGGGCTGGGATAAAATTCAAAATATGAGCACTTTAAACCTGTCAGCATCTTTTAATTATTTTAATACTGACTGGGGTCAAACAAAATGCTCAGTGATTGTATGCTATCAAATATCATACAGTATACACTGTCAAATACTAAATATCACTGTTGCATTTATGAACTCTTAAATAGGTTGCAAGTCAAGGATAAAACACAACAAAATTGTATGCATTTGATACGTATTATCTAATGTAACAATATTACGCCCTGTCAGATATAAACATTATTGTAATCTAACATAGATTTCAAAACATCAAATACCGCTCCAGCTATAAATATTGTGAAATGCTAAAAACTAAATATTTATAAAAGCAATAAACATATTTGGCCCCTGTTATCAAAGCTCAGTGATCAGAAGTCCCCGGTCAAATGCATTGCTACTGCAAGGATTTCAGGCCCAAATATCAGATTTGGGGACAACTATTATAACAGGAGCTGCTGATGAGAATCTCAGGTGCAGAATCTATTTTAGCTGAACCCAGCAGCATTTCTGCAAAGCTTTTGTCTTTAGGAAGGTTGAGATGAATGGTTTCCCTTCTTAATGGATGCAAGATTATTTGAGGGCATTATGCCAAGGATTTTAACACCCAGGAAGAAAAGAAAAGCTGTGCCGGAAAAGATGCAAAAAAGATAACTCTCCGGGGTTTCTTACCAAGCAAATAGTCGGCGTTGTTCTCTTGTCTCCTTTCTTTCGAGGAGCCAGTTCTGTGTTTGGTTTCTGATGCAATTGGCACTTTCTCATCCAATTCTCTTGGCTGGGTCTAAGCAAACTGATTATTCTCAGAAAGTTGAGTGCCTCTTAATGCTGTCATCGTATCCTGAAATTTATGCTCCTGGCTGGTTTACCAAGCATGCTCCCTGCGGTTTGCTGAAGCCTAGTTTATATATGAGCCATCATGACCCACTAAGCCCAAAGCAAACAATTCTGTGATATCTGAATGAGCCTTCCTTGTTTGGTGCCCTCCGGATGGGTGGCTGGCTCAGGATTGTGGGAGGTGAGCGTTGAGTTGGGGAATGTTGGCTTAGCTGAAAGCAGGCTGTTTTCCCACCCTTGGTACTATATGGAAATCAAAAAGCACAAGATTAATCAAAATTGAAATGTAGGTTACAGCATCGGTAACCCAAGTCAGGAGAGTTTTCTTATCTGGGAAATCTGGAGCCACTTTTCTCAAACTCGTCTTGATTTCCCTCCCAGAGAAACAGGAAACTAACCTTCCTGCCCCCAAGTTTCATCTTCTTGCTCCCAAATCCTAGCTTCCTGATGCTTCTTCAGCAGGAAATCTTCCACCAAGGCTTGGGGACATGTCGCAGGGCTATGCTCCCTGACCCGGTCCTGGGTTTCCCTGGGCAAGATGGTCAGGAACTGCTCCAGAACCAGCAGTTCTAGAATCTGCTCCTTGGAACATCTCTTTGGCTTCACCCATCAGCAGCAAAGTTCTTGGAGAAACCCGCCACCCTGGGATCTTCTGCTTCCAGGTGGTGAAACTGCCAGAAATGTTGGCATAGGGTCTCCACCGCAACAGTGCAGGTGTTCAAAATGGCCACTTTCTCATAATCCTTCTCATTGGACGAGTGGTGGGAGCAACAAGCCAGACAGGCCTCTTTGCTAAGGGCTGGTGCTAGCTGAGATGCCTACTCTTGCCTTGGCCATGGCACACCTCAGCCACCTACTCCACGATGACCAAGTATGCCTCAGCAACATCTTTCTGGGTTAATGGCAGTAGTTGCAAATTGTTCCACAATGATGTGGCTGGGATCCATGGTGATCTTTTTAGTGTGGGAAACACCCAATGCTTTCCTACTGGAGCTTCTCGAGGGGTGATAATGGAGAATCCAAACCCTTTTGGAGAAGGTCTGTTGTTCTCCATCCAATGATGGACAGCTGAACTGATCCACCTTGGAGACTTTTCTGAGCTCGCCTTGCAGAGCTAACTCCTCCTGTTTGAAATCTTCCTTCGCAACACTCAACAGAAAGGAGCCTGCAGGCAACAGAACATGTCTCAGAAGAGAAGAGGGAAACTTAGTACCTATCAGATGTTTTGGAATGGCATTTGAGAGGGAGCCAGACCAGGGAAACAAATTGGAAGCAACAGGCACCGTCTTTTCTGGAGAGCTACGTCGTAGGAGGCTTACAAGTTTTGGATAAGATTCATGTCTTTCTGGTGGATCTTCTAAGCCCTGTGTTGACTTAGGAGAAGCTGAAGGAAGCATTTCTTCTTCTAAATCAGAACATGGTCCCCACCTTGTGCAGGAAAATAATATCAAGGATCATTCTAGTTTTAAAAATGGAAAGTAAGGGGGAGTACAGGAGTTTATAACATCAGATACTAAAAAAGTGGAAAGAGGACAGGGTTTCTCCCTCTACAGCCTATGCGTGCTGTAAGAAACTGAATGATGGAAGATTAAGGGCAGATGGAAAGAATTATTATTCCCACAGCATGGAGTTAAGCTGAAGAAGACCTTGCCACAAGAAACAGTCATGGCCCCCAGTTTGAATGGTGTAGAAGAATTTAACTCTGGACTTTCAAGAATCTCTTAATAGACCCCGCAAGCATAAAATAGTGTTCCTGGAATTCCTGCAGGTCTGTTTCAAGGCCTACCTTGAATGCTGATGGAAGTCTTGAAAAAGTGTGAATTTGTAGCACATTTGTGGGGGCTAAGTCTATCCATTAGGGTCGTGGGGTGTTTGGATCTGATTTCACAAACAGTTGTGGAGTGTGCACAGGGGTTGGGAATGCAACCCTTGTCTTCCACCATGAAATCCAAGCAAAAGATGCCATGACACAGCGTTGCACACTCTGAATCACTTTTTGGAGACTGAATTTGAAACACTAGCCAGCCCTATTATTCATGGCTCCTAGTTGTGATAGCTAATATTGCCTCCAGTCTTAGTGGGGAGGTTCAGCTTGTGTGTTTGTCCTGTTTGTGAGTTTTCTAGTTTTCTTGTTGTGGGAGGTTGGAAGTTGCTCTTTTCGTGCAGGAAAGAAGAGTGAATCCTATCTACTGGAAAGTTGGGACACAGTGGAAGATTAACAAAATTCCCACAGTGGAGGAATGGATGGTGAAAATGTCAGAATTTGCAAAAAATAGTGAAACTGACCTGATTGGTCAGAGAACAAACAATGAAAACTTTTTTGAACGACTGGAAGCCTTAAATGGACTTTTTGCTGAAAGGAGGAAAGTGGATTTGAAAACTAAGATGAGGACTACATGAAGAGATGAAGGGACTTGTCAAATACTTAAGGGGAGGGATAATAGGAATGTAATTATCTGTTGAAAACAAGTCAGAAGTCATCTATGTGTTTCTTAACGTTGGTTTTCTTTTTCTTTTGGTTTGCTATTTTAATTTTTTTTAATAAATATAATTAAAGTTGGGACATAGCTATACAACTTCCCTTTGACATGAAACATTACCACTAACACGCCATCCTTTTTGCCACTTTAACCAGTCAGCAAACAAGCGGTTGAAAAAGTTTCACGCCATCCTTGAGAGGAACCAGGAAGGAGGAACTGGCAAACTGCTTCAGTTTGAACGTCAGCTTAGTTCCTTGTGGTCAGTGAATAGGAACCCAAATTGGAAAAGGAGGGGAAAACAAGGTCTTTGTTTTTCTTTAGGGGCACCAAAGAAGCCGAAAAGAAATGGGAGAACGCAAGATTGCCAACTTGCAATCTCCCCCTCCTAGTGTTTTTAATACTTCCAAAATTAAGAGCTGCAACCCTTTTCCACTTGGCATACACTTTTTTGCTTTTAACGCAATAGCCAGGTTCTGCACGTATGTATGTAAATAACTCAATAACCATGAGCGCTGGGAACGGAGGGAGAAGAATTTGAAAAAGAGCAGCAGTTAGCCAGCGAGAAATGTTGTGCTACCCTGCTCTAAATTCAAGCAGGAGAAGATGGGATCTTGGACGAAGCCTGCATTTTGCACCAGAATTTTTTAAAAGACCAACCCTTGTCTAGGAAGGAAGGATGCTGAAGGAGTGCCCCAACATACACAGAGGGTTTGTCACCGAGACAATAAGTGGGTTGGGAAAATGCTCCTTGTTTGTTTAATGACAGCATTGAAAAGGGAGCATCAGGAAGAACATTTTATAGTCTAGGCAAACATTAACAGGACAAGAATGACTAGTACACTTCTGGGAGAAACTTACAAAATTCTAGAAGGAAAAAAAATCTTCCTCCTTTTGCTTGATAGACTAGGAGTATCCAGTATTCATAACTGGAACTAGGAATATCATCCCTGATGCAAATCGCTATTATTTGGCTTATGTCTGCTGTAATGACATTCCAGCCAGCTAAATGCCATAAAGTTTTGTTTCTTGGCTCCAGCATCTGTTGGTGATCAACCTGATCTTGCCTCCCTTCCCCAGCAGCACCAGCTTTTGGTCCGATTTGAACCAATGTGGTTGAAACTCACCCAACTGTTCATCACTGAGCTGAGCTGGAAAGTTGATTCAGGGAAGACTTTCCAGGGGTGGAGCAGGAACCCAAGGCTTGCTCACTGCAAGGAGTGTGTACATTTGGGAGTGGGTGTTAGGCCAACACACAAAGCTGGTGGTCCTCAAACATTTTGGTCTCAGGACCCCTTTACAAATGATTGAGGACCCCAAAGAGCTTTGGTTTATGTGGGTTATTTCAATCAATATGTACTGTAATAGAAATTATAACTGAGAAATGTTGAAGTGTTTGATTTTACAGACCCCCTGAAAGGGTCTTGGGGACCCCCAGACCACACTTTGAGAACTAGTGCACTAAGTCATCAAAAACAACCCCAGGTTAAACCTAATCAAATTTAGTGTTGAGTGAATGCATGTGCTAGGATGTTCGGAGACTTGCTTAGAAGTATTGTGAACACTAGTACGCATCACTTTTATACAGATGTGATGGTGGCCCCAAATTTAGGCTGTGCAGGTGCTGTTTCCATGGCTGGAGGCAAGATTCAGATCAATCAAACTTGGCATTCATTTCTGTAATTGAACGAAAATATTTCTAGCCCTTATGGCTGGAATTCCAGCAGGCAAGGGAGCAACGTTGGTTGAACTGTAGAATAATTCATTCCAGAGGAAGAGCTTGTGGGCTTCCAGATGTTGAACTCCAATTCCCAGCACCCCTCATCATCAGCTGTTATGTCTGGAGCTGCTGGACAGATTTCCTCATCCTAGGCTTCCTCCGAATTGGAGAGTTTTGCTGTGAATTGTTCTCTTTGGCCTTGAAGGACTCCAACTTCAAACGACGTGAAATATGTCTCTGCAGAGTAAAAACCTTGAAAGGTCCCTCGACTTTTGTTGATTGTGGATACTTAGCAATCCAACAGATAAGGGTAAACTATAAATTGCAAGGTTTTTAATTGCTGATGTTGCCAATACATACACAAACTGTTTCCAAGTGTTCATTTACTTTTAACTTCTTGAGTAGATGAACCCATTTTGCAGCTCCTTTTGAAGGAGAAGCGAGAAGGGGGGAAGCCATGAAACAGGACATACCTGTAAGTAAAGCCAAGATTTGGGGAATAGATGCTTGAGAATTTCCATTAGTTTTATTAAAACGGCTTTTTCCCACTAGGATTACTTGGGTGTTCATGTATTTCTTGACTCAAAACTGATCAGATTCTGGCATGGGGGCTACCAAAAGGGGCTCAGTACCATATGCAATCTTCTGGGTTTATGTTGTCCACCCCTACCCTAGAAGGAAAAGTGGGCAATGTATGTTTCAAAATAGAAGGTAAGATCTGTGTTCCAATTCACCTGTTTTGTTGTGGAGTCTATGGTTGCAGCCTGTGTGCTTAAGCTGCCTCTCACAGTGGGATTGATTTCAAGCTCAGTGCTCTAAGACAACTGGAGGAAGTTGGGAATACAGAGACAGTCAACAAAAAGATTTGGAATTAAACACATTCTTCTGGGAGTCAAGAACAAGGATTTTGAGTTCTCAAGAATCTTTGGCTTCTTGGCACATCATCTGAACACCTCATCAGACAATAAACCTGCTCCTGTAACTTTCCAAAACCTAACTCTTTGAAATGTAGGTCAACTTTGCTCCATCTACACTATATTACACCATGGAAGCAAGCAATAAACTTGCAAGGCAGGAAGGTCCTACGGCCCTCCACTGGTTAAAGGATGCTCTGGAGATGGCCCTGAGATCACACAGAAAGAGGACTCCATCCATCCTCAAGAGAGACTCAACAGATTTCCCAGCAGTCACTCTGGTGGGGATGGTGAATATTGGCTTTGGGCAAGGCTGCAATAAGACGGTGCTATTTGCTCCATGGAAGGATCGTAGCATTGACACTTCACAATCCAGACCGTTTTTCCTGAAAACCTATAAAGATGAAATGCATTCTGCAAAAGGTCATCCGTCCCTTCAATCTTCCACGATTATCTACCTGAGAATGCCAAGATCTCAGAGGATCTCAACCATCACTCGATTCTCCCTGACCATGTCCAATGCCCTACTGAAACCACCCAAGCTCACTGACACCCAAGCGTGGGAAAGAATTTATGGAGGTTAACTAGGCGACGTGTGGGAAAGTCTTTCGGTCAGCCCTGAATCTCCCTGTACTTATTTTCTGTGGGTGACTTTGATTTTCAACATTATGAGAAGAAAAACTGTTCCTCTCCATTACTTACACAGGTTATGATTTTATATGCCTTCCAAACTAGAGAGCTCTGCCGTCAATTTATCTCTGAGCCCAACTGCCGTCCCTGTATTTTTCACCTAAGAGACACTACTACACTCCACTGTTTCTTCTGACAAATTCTTTTAATTTTAGCTTGACTTCCAATGGTGAGGCGACCGCCCAAGGCTTAGGCCTTCACGGCGTATTTCCGTGGGGGATATAAACGTTCTTTCCGTTGCTGCTTTTTCGTCTTCAGACCTTCTTCGTGCTTGTTGAGCCTCCGCCGCATGGCACGCGTCTTCTTTGGACGCAAGTCCAGGGGCTTGTATTTCTTGCCCTGTGGACAGGAGAAAAAAAAGCAGTCAGTCTCCGAAAAGGATGCTGAAAAATACGGGAGAGTCAGAAAGAGAATACAGGCAACGGCAGCCTCTAGCGCTGAGCATGACAACATCTGTGATTAATATAAACTTCCCAGATGTTATCAATGGCTACTGTTGATATTAAACTCCACGCTACCTCTAAGATCAGAAGAAATTGGCTTCTGAATGTCAGTTCTGAGTGTGTGCAACTGGATCTCTGCATCTGGGCATCCTGGAAACATCTGACTGGTCATTGTGGGAAGAGGGAGGCTGATACAGGCAGTCATGGAAAACCAGTATTTTTTTTTTTTTAAGGCTTATTTGCAATGGGCTGGTGCACCCCCATTGGGGTTCAATCATTCCAGATGGCCAAAAACTAAGACCCATGAAATGCTCTGTCAATGTTTATCTCGATGTGCAAATCAGATGTTACAGTTTGACTTTCGACTGTTTGAGATAATCTGGTATGAATGGCTTGTTACGTGTGATACAAACAAACCATCAAAGGAACTTCCACTGTTTGTTTAGACATTCCCACAGGCTCAAGGAGCACAGCACAAGGAACCCAGCAGCGTGCCAGGATCTCACCCGTGTCCTGGCTCAGAGTGACTCGTTAACTCTCCTGCTGCTTAACCAACACCCATTTCAAATTCCGAATTCCAATTTTTCTAGAAGACTTCTATCAGAGTTACACGAAGGGAACAGAGCAATGGTGCCCTCAGAGTGTTATGTACCTGGTGGATAGTGGCCTGACCAAACTGGCTTGGCACAAGCTACCCAGCAGGAGACTTGTTTTAGCAAGAGCAGATTCGCACTGCGTCCACAGAGTTGTAAGCAGTGTTGGGTGATAGCCTTGCAAGCCAGTAATTAGTTCCCCCCTGGCACTCCAACAGGGAAATGCAGGTATTCAGATCTGAAACAGAAAAGGGTGGGGGAAGATGATCTACTCTCACTTTATGGCTTTTCAAAAAAGGCACGCAATCCCCAGGAAGCATGTGTTTTGGGTTAAGGAGATAGCCACAAGGTACAACCGGGTCCAACTCTAATTTCCTGCTTTGGATCCGAATAGCTGCACTTCACTATGGTACAAGTCAGCCAACAGAGCTAAAACACATCTGGGGGGCTCCCGACGGCGAAGACTGGCATGCACATTCTTCCACATTCATCAGGTACTTTGTTCTAGCACAGCCCATCCTTTCCACCAAAAGCACTCTCAACGAAAGAGGCAGGAATTAACGCTTCAGACTCACTTTGTAGAACTTTCTGAGGTTCTCCTTCTGGGTCTGGTTAATGACTGTCAGCACTCTGGCAATGGATTTGCGAACCACCCGGCTGCAAAAAAACAAAACCCAAAAAAAATACACAGGAGGGAAACAACGATCAGGTCAGAGAAACAACAAGCAACACTGTGTTTTTTTCACAATGTTGGGTTCTTCATACCCAACCGTGACAGTGAGTCAATCTGGAAAACTGCAGGGAAAAACTCACATCTTGGAGAGTTTGGAAGCTGCTCCACCAGTCACCTTGGCAACACGTAGCTGAGACAATTCCACCTTGAGGTCATCCAGCTGTTTCAACAGCTCTTCCTTCTTCTTCCCTCGTAAGTCACGGGCTTTGATCTTGGCCTAGGGACAGAAGTACATCTAGCATCACAGAGCAAAGGCAGGAGGCAAGTAACTTTTTAAACACTGCCTTTGCAGTATAAGGAGGGAGCAACTTCCTACGCTACAAACTCAAGGTTTAAACTATACACTAAAGTTATAGACCGTGATAAGAAGGAAGGAGGAAAAAAAAGAGAAAGGTATATCTGGCAGGTCCATCAGTTATAAGAGAAATAGGATGGAGAAATGTGTGGTACATGTATATGAAGGTAGAACTCCATTTATACAGTACTGTAATTACATGGAAGCATAGAAAAAGTGCAAAACTGATACTAATAATCGTGTTATGTTTTGGCAATCTTAGCTCTCATTCTTCTGCTGCTTTGTTAAAAAATAAAGTTTCTAATTCTTCATGCTACAAAGATGTGGCATAAATTCACGAGTCCTAAGCCTTGCGTTTGTTCTGGCAATTTGTTGATTGCTTGTAACTCCCAAGATTTAGCTCAATGTATATAATTTATTTAAAAAGTGTGTGTGTGTGTGTGTAGTCTATAAGGCAGCTTACAGAAAGTTATTGCTTAGGCTACAGAAAGCTGTATGTTTTTTTCATATGAAGCAAACCAAACGGTTTGGTTCAGAAATTCATTTCTAAATCTACCGTGCTGTATTCTTAAATCGAGATGGTAGTAATGCTTTAAACCTGCAATTTCAAGCAGAACAGTAAAGAAAACCTGCAATTCAATTTTCAGTTCATGATGTTTGCAGCACAAGAGCATATAACATAAGCTGCAACCCTAACCCTAACTGTAGAGATATTTTGATACTGATAAATGACCTTATAAAAGCTAACTATTCCTGACACGCAGCAATATGCACCCCACAATAGCAGAATGAACCATTATACCCTTTTCCCCAAAATCTTGTACTTCAGGTTGTACAGAAGCTAAACTAAGGATAACTTGTACAAAAAGCAGAATTTTGAACAGTCTTTTTGCCACATATGAAATATCATTCAAAGTACAGGGAAAGGGGGAATTAACCAGACCATACTTAAAGACAAGGAGAAGCAAAATTAAAGAGAGCCTGTGTATAATGACATGGGAACCGCTGTATATATTTAGAATAAGATGGAGAATGAAATGCGCATCTGACCGGCGTTGGTGGTTATGTGGGACTCGGGTCATTTATTTTATTTCAGCAATTTATCTACTGTTTCAATTTTCACAGACTTAAGCTTACCGTTATAACTATAAAGAGAACATTATTTCTGTTAACCAAAATATAAACCTTAACAAATAAGGTCATGAACCAGCTTACAACATCAAAGGATGCAGGTTGGAAGTACTTATGCTGGTACGTCTGGACCAACATCTGCCATCGTTTGCACGCTCACAGCATACCCTGGCACAGTCAGACTATTCTGTGATCTACCAGCAGCGGTTCTGCACATGCTCCAGCTGTGAAAGGCCTGGCTACTCCAAACCTTTCAAAACTGGAGTCCTTGCAAGACCAAAGCATGTTCCTGTCACTCCCTTTGGGGCAGGCCTGTTCTCAACTGATGCACAAGGGCAAACAGGGGCCTCAGCGGTCTATGGCACAGCACGATGCCTAGAAGTTTGGGTCCAGCCGGGTAGAGCAAGGGCAAATGCGTTCACACAACCCGCTAATCCGGGTGGGTGTTAACCCAGGTTCCTTTTTTCAATGGGTGAGCGTGGCGTGTCAGCCCAGCTTTTGGTCTTCCTGAGACTCTTCTAACCTTTCCTCCCAGGAGAAGACAACAAAGCCCATCTCAAGCAAAGGGTTCACAACCCGGAAGCTTTTCTTGCTCTCCCCTCCCCCATGCAAGGCTCCTCGCTTCTTACATGCCCAGCGCGGCCTATTCAACCTCCACCCCATAGCCATCCTCCCGCCGTCCCCCACATTCCTCGTAGGGGGCGGCCCAGCTCAAGCAGCCTTTTCCCCACCAACCCCGTTTACACCCGTGGCTCCAACCCCCCTTCTCGGAGCCGATGGAACCGGATTAGAACCGGTCCCCCGGCGCTTCCTCACCATTACTGCCGCAGCGAACTCCAGCTACCGCCGAGAAAGGAAAGGACGGAAGCCGGGAAGGGACAGGAAGCCGGCGGACCGGCTCAACCAATAAAAGCAAAGCTGGGGGGGAGACAGGAAGGACCGACCGCGTCAAGGTTTTGCCCACTTGTCTCCCCTCCCGTTGGAGTGGTTTAGTCCTAGTGATCCCAAGGCGAGTCGGTTATAAATCAACGTTTGCATCGGGCCATTAATCGCTGATCAATTCAGGGATCGAATTATGGGGCAATTATAAAGCCACGCCACTCTGCCAACTAAGTCGAAATTAAATTAAAAAAAAAAAAAGGAGCGGGGAAACGGGGGCGCCTTTTAATAATGCGTGGGTTTGCTTGACGACGATGATGATGATATTCACTGCAAATCATGCAGGTTTTGCCCGAGTGAGATTAGTGTGTAAAGATCAAACGGGGGACGTGCATTATTGGACGCCTGACACGAAGCCAGCAGCCTTGCCCTGTGATTGGTCCCAGCGTTGGCTTATCCAAGGTACACTGTTCCTGGACTTGGAGGTTCTATATTAGGCTTCGGCTCCTGGCGCTTTGAACTGCAACGTTCATAACTCACACTGTGTTTGTATGCACGTATATTCCGTGCACGTGTTGGGATTGAAACGAAATTGATTTTGCTAGAGTCTTACGCGCTGATCATCCTGCACTATTCTACAGATGCGGAGGTTATCCGTTTGTCCAGCATCATCTCTTTGGCATACAGGATCGCGGTGCGCGCGCGCGCGCGCATCTGAAGTTTAATTCAGAGCATCGGGTTTAATGCAAATAACATTTGTAAGTTAGGTTGGTGCATCTGTGTATGGTTATATATACACGCACACACGGGATTGCACGTATCTGCACTCAAGAAAATTTGAGTTTGCTGAGTGTGAGGTGTGTATTTGTGTTTTTATGGGGCTGGGGGGGTGCACACATATGCACGCGCGCGACGAGGGTAAGTATTTGGATTTGAGCGTGACACGAGGGCCGCGTGTGCGTCCGGGTGTGTACGCACGCATGCACGTGTGAGCGCGCTGCGCGTGCGCT